GGGGGGATTTAAAATAGCAACTTTTTTACAAAAAATAACTTTTTCAACTTAATTTTTGAAAATGTTCCGGAAATACTGCGTCCTTTAAACATATATAAAATTAAAGCTTATTTTATGTACTACAAAATGAAAAAAAAAAAATTGTCCCTACGACCTATCTTCTATACGCAAATGGCTGCCGTATTCAAAAATATGCTATTTTTGTATTAAAATTATGTGTTTTATTTTAATAAAACTTGATGTTTGATGTTGCTTTTGCAATTATCCATCAATTTTTTAAAATTAAACACTATCTACAGATTTGCATCGAAGCGTTTCTTATGATAGTGATTCTAATCACTTTCAGATTAAATCTATACTGAACCTAACTATGTAATGTCTCCAATATGCCGCGACCCCACTGTGCTATCGTTTTTTTTTACTTATATCATTCCTCGAACAAATAGTATTGACGGAGTTATACTTAAAAGCTATATGTATATGTATAAAAGCTATATGTATAAAAGCTCTCAAATATTACAAAATCCATCTTGTTTTTTAAAACTAGAAAATAATAATTCAGAATGCGTTCTATTCATCTATTCGATTATTATAAAAAAAGGTTAAAAATCTTCGTATTACACTGTTGATTCAAATTTAAGTTTAATGCTATACTCTGATCAGGGTCGCATTTAGGAATTTTGCCGCCCGGTGGACTTAATTTTGCCGCCCCCCAAAAGTGTTGGATTGGGTTTTTTAGTTGGCGTATTTAATAATTCCGAATATTCAATTAATTGATTTTCATTTGCCATGGTTTCAAAAGTACTATGTAGAGGATGTTCACTTAAAAATTATAAAATTTTTCATTTATATAAAACTGAAATAACGTACAAAAGTTAACATTTGATTTTTAAATTACTTTTTATCACTAGACTCATTTAAAATCTGTTCAGCTGTAGTCTCTATTTCACTTGGCGAATTGGAGATTGATTGCCAAAAAATGAAGTTAATTTTGCGGTTTGAGAAATGACTTTTTGTTCTTTTTCTAATTTTAATTTAGCAACTTTTTTATAAGCACTTCCACTTAAACGTTTTCTGCCATCACTCATTTTAATACGTTAATAAATAATAAAATATACAAATAAAAAAAAACACCTCAACATATTAACTCGGTCACTTGTAGTCGAGTACTAAACACAATGAGCTGTCTGTACACAACACATTATTAGTGTGACATTATTAGATAGTAATTTTGTGAAAAATGAGACAAATTATTGTGTTTTAACTTTCTTAGTATTCCAATAATAATCGACTATCAACGGCCGACGACATCCATAAAACCAGTTTAAGGGAGAAAATATCAATACTTTGTTAAAATTAGATAAAAACATGAATCAAATAAATTGCCGCCTACTTTATTTATAGTGCTGTTGATTATAAAAATTACTATGTATAATCAATACTATTATCTAACTACTAACTGTAGTATATGTTGTTATACAGCTTTGATATATCTTCTTTTACATTTATATCTTTGTACACGTTTTAAATTAGAAAATAATAAAGTAATATTTTTTTTTAGAAATAGATATTTTTGTTTCATTAAAATAAATTGTTCTGTTTGAAAAAATTTAAAATTAAATAAAAATTAATTTTTAAAAATTGTATACCTATTAAGATTTTTGCCGCCCTTCAAAATTTGCCGCCCGGTGCAAATGCCCTCAATGCCACCCCCTAAATGCGGGCCTGACTCTGATAACAACATGGAATATATAAGAATAAAAACATATACCGTCGTCTAAAACGAAAACATCTATTCATCAGAATGATAAATTTTTTAGAAGAAAATAATGTTTAAATCTTCGTTTAGAATTGTAGTTCAATAATTTTTCTGAATAATATAATTACAAAATAAATGTTATAATGTTACTATCTAATAAAATTTTTTCCTACATATAAGCTACAAAAAAATTATAATTGAAAAATATTAAGTTAGAACCATTGTTATTATTCAAGATAATGAGGAAAACATTTTTATTATCGAGCGGCATGTTTTCATTTAAATATTATTATGGTAAACTACCAAATAATTATTATAGGTTATATTTGATAATAGTGAAGCCGCGATCGTTGATAAGACAACTAGCGTTTTTTTAGTTTTTAATTTGATGCGTTATTTTCTTGTAACAAGTACTTTCTGGTCGAGTTTAAAGAATTCTGCAGAAAGTGACTGTAATCCTTCTTCAGAGTGTTAAAGATATTTTCAGTTTTCACTCTTGTTTTACTTTAAAAAATTTAATTCTTGAATACTGTTGGTCTGTATAAAAATATATAATTTTATTAGTTATAATTTCTGACAAATTAAAAAAACTTTTTAGAGAAATTATTATGTCGTGTGGTGAAGAAGAAACGTCTAAATCATTGGAATCTACATCTAAAGACAATGGAGCAAAAAAGCAAAATGAACTTTCAAGTGCTAGCATTGGTGGTGAGAGTAGTGGGTCAGGCACAGTTGGATTAGATGACAAAGTTTCATCAGAAGAATATATTCGATTACGAGTTATTACTAGTGATATGACCAATGAAGTGCATTTTCGTGTTAAGTCAGCTACAGCTTTAGGTCGTCTTAAACGATCTTACTGTAGTAAACTTGGTTTTCAAGTGGAAGAATTACGTTTTGTCTTTGATGGCCATCGCATAACAGATGATGATACTCCTAAAAAACTAGGTATGATGAATGATGATGTAATAGAAATTTATCAAGAAAGAACTGGTGGTAAATTACCATAATATATTTTAAAAAAATAAAACTACAATTTTATTAAGGATAACTATTTTGTTGGAAATTTTAATATAGATTTGTTTTTTTACAACAGCCTTATTATATAAGACTTTTATTATAAGGTATATTTATGAACAATTATTTATTTTTTGTTCTCACTATAATTATTAATTGTTTGAATCTTATTTGTATGATGATAATTATACCATTCATCAAGGAAAATCTTCATATAGTAAATATAATTTTTATTATCAATATGTACTACTCCTAGTTGGATGTAAATTAAAATTTGTAACTTGCTGATAATAAATTTTGATATTTAAGTTATATATTTGTCAGTTTTGAGAGAAATTCTTTATATATTTTTTTTGTTTTGTATTATGAATTTTCTAATTTAAGTATAATTGTAAAATTTAATAATAAAGCCTTTTGTAATAAGCATATTAAGATATACGTTTGATTTATTCAATAGATAGGAGTTAAATTATATAAATAATAAGGCATGTACAGTTCTTTTGATCTATTACTGTTTTTTCTTGAAATAATAACTGTTTAGAAATGTATTCTTTTTAGCTTCGATGCGGAGCCGAGAAGGTATTAATTTTATCATGATGTGTTTATTTTTTTTGTGTCTGTCAATACTTTTTCTCAGTTCTGACTTGATCGATTTTTCTCAACAATACATCAAAAGACCACAAATCGTATCTAGTTGAAGACATTACACTAAAAACTGAAAATTTTGCTATCGTTCCTCGTAATTAGTGAAAATCCCCCAAAAAATTATGATTTTTAATCGGTAAATTTCGACATTTTTTAAACTTTTCTTTTTTAAAAATTGCCATAACTTATTGAAAAATAAACGAATCAAAATAATTCTTTTTTATATTGAAACCATAGATATTTCTCTTTCATTTGATATCAATTTCTTTGAAAATATGACCATTTCCCTTTATATGGGGTGGTTTAAAATTTTAAAAATACGAGTAAAAAGTATAACTTTTTCAACTTAACTTTTGAAAATGTTCCGGAAATACTCCAATCTTTAAATATAAAGTCAAATTAAAGCTTATGAAAATACTATAAGTTTAAAAAAAGAAATTTTGTCCCAACACCTTTTCTTCAATGGGAAAATGGTCATCGAATTTAACCAAAAAATGTCTTTTTTATTTAAAAATCACTGTTTAACAAGAAATATTTGATACTTAAAACTGCCATAACTTTTTGAAAAATAAACGAATCAAAATAAATATTTTTTATATAAAAGATTTAGGTATTTCCCTTTTATTTGATATAAAATTGTTTTAAATCGGACCCTTTATCTACCCACAGGGGGGGATTCAAAACTCTACATAAAAATTTTAATTATTCAACTTAAGTTTTGTAAATGGAAATACTCCGAGCTTCAAACATATGCTAAAATAAAGATAATGTTATGTACTATAAGTTCAAAAAGAATAAAATTTGTCCCGACGACATATTTTCTATGTGAAAATGGTTACCATAGATAAAAAATATGCAATTTTAGTATTCAAATTTACGATTTCATATTTTATTTTTTCAACTTTAAATTAATATAACTTTTTGAAAAATGTATGGATCAACACGATTTTTTTTTTTTAAATCAAACCATTTTTCCTTATACAGAGAGTGTTCAAAACTTTTCAAATTACGTAAAAAGTTAACTTTCTCAACTTAAGTTTAAAATGAGTTCAGGAAATACTGCGTCTTTTAAACATATGTTAAATTAAAGCTCATGTTATGTAATATAATTTAATATTTTTACATTACACTATATACATTAAGTTCTGGATAACGACAGTCTTGTCAATAATATGAATCACGGTGTTAAATTAAATAGATAATTTGCAATTTTTTTTTTAGTCGAAAAAATTAATTTTAACATTTAAATCAAATTAAATTGCCAATTTTATAAAAAAACGAATGCGATGAACGTTTGCCGATTCAGTAAAAATCATTGCCCGTGGCAATGATTTTTTTGCAATTTTCCGTAATTCTTTTTGAGTTAGAATTTTACTTTTCAATAATCTACCAATTTCTTAAAATTAAACACTATCTACAGATTTGCATCGAAGCGTTTCTTATGTTAGTGATTTTAATCATAGTCAGATATTCTATACTAGTCCCACCTATGCCACGCTCACTCTGTGCTACCATTATTTTTAGTAAAGTATTTCTCAATTTATGAATTATTAATAAATAAATGTTATAAAAATTAATACCTTGCACTTAAGGAGTACCTATTATATAATTTTAACGGGAAGAAACATATTTATCTAGCTAATATACTAGAAAACTTTGGTAAAAACTTTTTATTCAGTTTTTATGGATTTGTTAATATTTTAAACAAAGGGAAGGGAAAAATTCACTACAGAATTGTCTAATGATAAATATAATTAGAAATTGCTAGACCTGTTTGTATTTGTAATTTTTGGTACATTATAAAAAATAGTAGCAGAGTGGGGTCACGGCACAGTGTGGACATGGGATAGTTGAGACAAGTATAGATGATAACTGACAGTGATTAAAATCACTATCATAAGAAACGCTTTGATGCAAATCTGTAGATAATGTTTAATATTAAAAAGTTAGTAGATTATACTAAAAGCAAAATGAATTCCTAATTTTTTTTTTTTATTCCTGATTGTGGCGGTCGAATGTTCTAGAATGTTCGGCTGCCGCCGCCTCTAGAAGATTCCTCTGACTATTTAAGGGCAAGATCGTCACTCCAGTCAATCAATCGATCAGTCAATCACTTACGCACTCTTAAACGTCTTAAACGCGCTTCATCTCTCGCTGTTATTTGTTAGTTCGTTGTAATATAGTATAGTTGTTATTAAATCGTAAAAGTGTTTATTACTTCTATATATTACACCTCGCTACATGATTAGTAGTTTTTTGATTTAAAAGTTTTATAATAATATAAAATTTATAAAATAGTTTTATAATATATAAAATTCATATATATATATATATATATATATATGAATAAATATTTATTATTGCAATTAAATATAGTATGAGAGTCATATTTAATAATTTAATATTGTAATTTTTACGGAGAAATTATAAACTAGGTATTACTTATATAGCAAACGTGTAGAAATATTGAAGAGCTTGATACAAACATTTTCAGAAGATAATTTGTGATAAATGGTCTATAAATAATTTTTATTGGAGTCAAAAATATACTCTAAATATTCAATTTTTTGTGTTAACTTCAAATCAGGTTTAGATTTTTTCTATCACCACTAATTTTTGTTATTATTAATCATTAGTTCAAAAAAAGTATTAACATATAAAAAAAATATAGGTTAAAATGAAATTCTATAACACAACAGTGAATTAAATCATAGGTAAAACTAGGCACATAATATTTTTGAATATTTCAATTGTAGCATCTATTTAAACACCACGAGTTACATAGATATGATTACTAGGATTTCTATTTAAATAATTTATTACAATAAAAATAAAACATATTTTTTAACGAAATGTTGATTTTTCATCATAAATTTACTGCTAATAGTAATTATATAAATTCCTGATCACGTATCAACCTAAAAACATAATTTTATATTCATCATAAAATTTTCTATTTAATGATATAAACTCTAGACTTGCAAGTTGAGCTAAAATAATATTTAAAAGTTCAACATTTTTAAATTATAAATTTTCATAAAAATAAATTTTAAAGGATCAATAAAATAAGTTATAAAGAGCATTTTGCATGGATTATTTTTAAAAATTAATAATAATTTGATACAAAAATTTTTTCATGTGTAAATATTTGCTTTCTTATTATAGTAATAATCTCAAATAATCTCATAGAAAAATTCTAAATTTAGACTTGAAATCAAATTAAAAAATTTGATTTAGTAAAGTAAATGGGCGTGGTGTGGTGTGGCACTGTGGTCACACTAGTTGTTCACAAAACTCTAGTGTTAAGCCGCGCCTACCGCCGTAAGTGAACGGATGAGTGACAATGCGTGCGCTTCTACGGTGGTGAAAAAGCACCATGTTCCCAGTCCAGAAGGCAACGAGAAACCACTGCACTTAATTTCCCCTGGATATACCATTGGTAAAAACGACAGGGCAAGACCTTTAGTAGAAAAAAAAGTATATGATCGTTAAAATATTTTATTTTGATGTTGATATAATTTAACTGTGTAATTCAATATAAAATCACATTTTATACTCCTATTAATTTAGAGATGTTTAATTTAAAAAAGTTTTTTGAATAGGTCATTTTTTACAGTATTATAATTTTAAAATATTTGTCTAAATTATTAGAATTAAATTTTTTTCCAATATTTGGTAATTATAAGTTTAACATGATTAAAATCGTGTTCTTTTGACGTAATGATCATTAAAATTGGTCAAGTGAGATCTGAAAAAAAATGAATGACACAAAAAAGGGGATTTTTCAAAGCTAATTTTATGTTGGTTTCGGTAAAATTCCAAAGTTGAAATTTTTGCTATAAAAAGTTAACATGTGAAACAATATTGTGTGAAATTTTTATGATTTAATTTTCTGTCCCACTGGAGAAAAACGAAGTTAAAGTTGACTAAAAATCGTTATTTTAGAAATTTGAAATTTTTTATACTTGTGTTACTAAAAAAAGACCAAAGTAAAAAACTTCAAAGCACAATAAAATTATAATACTGAATAATGTTAATGATGTAAACAACAAATTTTGATTAAAAAAATTGTATTTCATCGTTAATTTTAATTTTGAAAATGTTATTTTTTTACAAAAACAAAAAAAAACCATTTTCAAAATTACTTAAAAAATACATTAAAAATTAAAAAATCTTATTGTTAATTACAAGACATGTTAGTAGACCTCATAATGAAAAAGTTATGAAATTATCAAGTCTTTAGTATAAATACATAGGTTTCAGTGATATTTTTAAGAAATACCGGTATTTTGAAATTTCAAAATTTTGACAGGTCATAAATCTACTTTCACCTAAAATTTTTTTTTATTTAAATACTAGGCAACTCATGTGTAAAATTTCAAAATGGTTGCGACTCTGGATAATTTGGTATGGATTGACCCATTAGTGTTATAAAATATCTAGAAGTTTGAGAATATTGAGAAAATTCTTCATTTTACTATTTTAGTTTTTTAACATCTCAATTTAAAAAACAACTGTGAATAACTTCTTATATACAATATTTTAACAAATCTAATCATTTTTATGTGTTTTAGATTTAATTGACAAAACAAATAGCTTTTGATATAATTATTATTTTGTTGTTTTTTTTTATTTAAATAATTATTGGCCTCTTAGGCTACTTTAAATTTTTTTAAAGTATTAATGATATACTAGCTGGGTTCCGCCCCAGACCCGGGGCCCTTCGAGCCTTCGGCGCGTAAGCCTCTTCGGGCCGTCATCATTGGTAGGCCATTAATTCCGGTAGAAGTACCCGGCTACGCCGGGCACGATAAGTGTTTTTCAGAAAAAATATTACTTTAGAATCAGTGAAAACTATAGAAAACTATATCTAAAAATGTTATTATTAAAATCAGGAAAATTCAAAAAGAGAATATAGTAAAATGTATTGGGTATAAGGTTGAAGCCTCTTAATGAGGTATTCCCTTTAGGCCTATTCAAAAATTATTTTAATAGGAAATTTAATATTTTTTACTTTGTTAAACATGTTATAGAAATTTTTTTGCTAAAATTAAAGTAATAATGAAAAAAAGGACATTATTTTTATTATAAAATAAGCATACGATTTTTGTTCAATAATTTTATTTAATTAATATTTCATAAGAGCATTCTATATATAAACGGTAGCACAGTGGGGTCGCGGCATAGTGGAGACATTGCATAGTAGGGTCCAGTATAGATTTAATCTGACAGTGATTAAAATCACTATCATAAGAAACGCTTCGATGCAAATCTGTAGATAGTGTTTAATTTTAAAAAATTGATGGATAATTGAAAAAGCAACATCAACTTCTATTAAAATAAAATACAAAACCCAGAATTTTAATAAAAAAATAGCATATTTTTGAATACGGTAGCCTTTAGCGCATAGAAGATAGGTCGTCAGGACAAAATTTTTTTTTTCATTTAATAGTACATAAAATAAGCTTTAATTTGATTTATGTTTAAAGGACGCAGTATATCCGGAACATTTTCAAAAATTAAGTTGAAAAAGTTAGTTTTTGTAAAAAAGTTGCTATTTTAAATCCCCCCCAATAAGTAGGTTAAGTGATAGATTTTCAAAAAAATGATATCAAATAAAAGGTAAATATCTAAGGTTTTAGTATAAAAAAAAATTATGTTGATTTGTTGATTTTTGAAAAAGTTATGGAAGTTTTAAGAAAAAAAAGTGAAAAAAATGACAAAATTTGTCAATTTTTTTGGATATTTCCACCATTTGCGGGGAACGAGGGAAAATTTTTTAATTTTTAAGGGTAATGTCTTCAACTAGATATAATTTGTGATCTTTTGACGTATTGTTAAAAGAAATCGGTCCAGTGAGAGCTGAGAAAAAGTACACAAAAAAAAAACAGACACAAAAAAAAATAAAAATAATTAAAAAAAACCCAGCACAGTGGAGTCGCGGCATAGTGGGGCGTTGCATAGTTGGGTCCAGTATAGATTTAATCTGACAGTGATTAAAATCACTATCATAAGAAACACTTCGATGCAAATCA